CGTGTTGTTGTACTCTTCTTCCTCCCCCCCTCCCCCCCCCCTTTTTTTTTTTTTTACGGTTTCTCTTAGACGCGATATCCTACGCCTCAAGTGATCGCTTCCAGAGTGAGAGCAGAGGCCTCGCTCGATTCACCTTCATCGGCTACAGTAAGCACATTCCGTCAATCCATCTAGGGACAGACATATTTTGTTAGCAATCATTCCTGACTTGGCGAACAAGTTTTTCATTTGTGTTTGTGTTTGTGTTTACTCACTAGCTCCTTTTGTTGGGCAGTTGTTATCGGTGCTATGAATGAAATCAGCCATTCCTTCTTTGTCCCTAAAAAAAAAACAGAGGGGGGGAGGGGAAACACCGAAGGCAATGAATAACCCTTACCGTAAAGCCCAGACCCAGCAGTCTCCATCGACGTAGTAGTCCCATCCACTAGAGCAGAGAGGAGAAGGTTAATAAGTCTAGACCCGCCTGCTGAAAGTGAAACCGTCCCGCCGAGGGTGGGAGGGAATCCTGTATGCTGCGGCTCAGCGCTTGCTTACCAGAAGCCATCAACGCACTGGCCCGATCGGCAGACGCAGTCGAACCCGTACTTCCGCCCGTGGATGAGCGTCTTGACGGATGGGCAGCTGGTGCTGGCGCAGGTCCGGCAGTAGGCGTTTCCGGTGCCGACGATCGCGCACTGGTGTAGCTGGAAGCCGGTCTGCTGGCGCGCGCGGAGGAGAGCGGTGGCGGGATGATTCGCCGCCGTGTCGGTTGGGAGAGTTAGGGAGAGGGTGAGAGGGATGAGGGTGGTGAGGGCGAGGAGCTTCATGGCGTGGGCTTGCTTGGTCTTGGTCTTGGTGAGTGAGAGGTGGTTCTGTGAAGATGGAGCTTGAAAGGATTTTGGATCTTGGGAGGACTGATTGAAGAAGGAGAAGGTCGAAAAGTCTCGTGGGTCTCTCTCTTCTTATGCATCATTTTTTGTGCTTGGTGCAATGTAGGTAGGTTGTTTAGGTGCGAAATATGTACCTGGCGAGCCGGATGAGTCTCTTGGGTTGATACCTATTTAGAATTATCAAAATCCTGGTGAAACATCTCAACTAAGTTGACAGATTGAATAGATCGACGGAGTGAGGTTGAAGGGTTACCTCATTCCATAGCCATAGGTGGAAAATGCTCAGAAAGACGGTACATCGATCATACCATGCTAAGGAGTTACAGCCTTGTGCTACGATGATGGATACTTACTTGCTGAATCCTTCGCGGAAAGATGAATGCAAGGGATCCTCAGAGGCTCAGAGACTTAGAGACGAGCAAGCAATCGGGTGCAAGCGGGTACAAGCAGGTCGACGATTCCCTATTTTGAGACGACTTGAGGTCCGATACATTGCATATCTGCTCAACATAACGATGATCTCTCGATCTAAAATACGCCAAGAATTCTTGTGCGCTACATGTGTGGAATGACAGAAGGGGAACTAGCAGTAGCAAACTATCTCAATGTGTTGTTTCGAGAAGGAGTAGTTCCTGAATCTTGTAAAGAGATGGACTGATGGAGGTTGAGATGCAGTCGCGCCAGCCCCGGCTCCATGGCCCAACTTGCCTTCGACCTTTTGCACTTACAATCTTTGCAATACGGCATATAACATAGAACACATACCCCGCTTGAAGCATTGTATTCTGCGTTACATGGCTGGCACAGCATACAAATTACCAGCCAGCATCGAGCTTGACGACGCCGCAGGATGATCAGTGTGCACCAGCTCGCGCTGAGAACGCCCATCTCACTCTTTCTGCGTTGGTGCGACGTCTGTACTTGGTCATCCTTCTTGCTACATCTGCATACATATATAAAAATATATCTGCAGAGTCCCGCTTCTATTTCTGGGTGCGGGGTAAACAAATCTACGATCCCCAGATTATAAAAATAAACTCCCCGAAGGATTTCGGGACGTTCCCAGACTTGGTGTCACGTAAGACGCAAAACTGCCGAGAGGCTCGCGACAGCTGTTATCAATGATTGGCTTCATACCTCTCGGTAAGAATAGAAAATTTTACATGGTTGGATGGTGAGTCCTTGAAAATGGAGAGTGGCTTGTGACGGCCTATACGCCACCGATGAATTGGAAGGTAAAATACACGTACACCAAGGTGTAACTTAAAGAACTAGAATAGCCAATGGTTCGAGAAGAGCGGGAGTGAAATGCTCATCACTTCTGCATAAGAAATAGAGCTCTCACAGAGTATTACATATATGCAGGAAACTTTTGAAGTCTAGATAGAGCAGGTGTTTGAATGCTTGGCTCAATGCAAGAGTTCAATGGGAGAGATTAAAACGAGGAAACGAAAACAAAAAAAAAAACAAAAAAAAACCTTGTTCTAAAGCTCCTCCTATATACATATGTACATTTGCCCGTTTCGATGGGATTTTTGCAGGAGTGAAGCATTTGTCATAAAAATCGTCGATGCGTTAGCCAGTTACTGACCGACAGACGCATGGATATTCTTGTCAGCCACTTGCAAACTGGCACAAGATTGTTGGATACAGAGTAGGTCCACGCCAGGTTCGGACTCAATAACGTGGCTGCGAGCTTCGAGTTCAGTGGGCCAGGCGATCTTGCCTACGAGAACGGGGGCGCCTACGGCGTTGTATGCTTGCGATGTCACCTTGCAGGAAGGGCCAGTCCTTGCTCTGCAGACGGCTCTGGCTCCGGCTCAGGAAGGATAGAAGTGCGTCTGATTTATGGATTGTGGAATAGGTATTGAAGGACAGTCATTGATACTTGAGCTTAGCTGAGACTGAGAAGAAGTAAAAGGGGGGATGACGGCCTACCACGTGAGCAGAGGGGGCTTCTCGCTTACCGGCCGGAAAATAATTTACCTACTTTATATAAGCGGCTTCCCTTTGTGTGGATATCAATCGGCGAAATGGACATAATGGCTCAATGGTTCAAGCTCACGCTTGACGAATTGTGAGCACCATCTTGGCACTAGCTGATTGGTCACATCATATGCCTGTTATATCTACGCAAGTGGAGAGGAGCAGGTACGAAAACCTATTCAGTTAGGTTGTAAACTGAAACCCCGAAGTGGGCCGAGAGGGCACCTAGGGCTTTCAGTTGAGTTCCCCGAAAAACCTATTCAGTTAGGTTTGTAAACTGGAACCCCAAATGACACCGGTCATTATGGGCTTCCAGTTGAGTTTTGCTATTTTTTTCTATTTTTTATTATTATTTTCTTCTTATGCTTTTTTAGAGGACGGGGTGGCGGGGGCGGGAAGGGGAAAGGGCGGTGCTGCAAACTCCAAAAAGATGCCATCGCGGCGAGGATATCACATTATTAAAGGACGATCATATGTATATTGTAAAAGAAGGGTTTAAAGCAAAGCATAATGGTTATGTTCCTTATTCTCGCACTCTAGTGAAAGTGGATTCGAGATATCTATAACCATTAAAAGAACCGGTCAAGTCACGCGCTCACTTCAAAGCTAGAAAGTAGCATCCATAGCATCAGTCCAAATTTGGGGGGGAGGGGTTCTATTGTTACATACCTATCTGATCCATCTTAGCAAATCAGTCGCGCAACTCCAACTGATACGATCGATACAAGCCAAAGGAAAGGAAGGAAAGGAAAGGAAAGGAAAGGAAAGCAGCCCGTGACAAGAAGGAAAGGAATGGAATGCATGCACTCACCTCCCGCCGTGCTCACTCACTCATCCACTCATCCACTCACCCACTCACCCACTCACCCATTCACCCACTCGCTCACTCGACTCTCGAGATCCTAAGCAGAAATCTACACAGCGCTGCGTCCGTCCCTATCGAAAGCGAAGGTCTCTCTCCTCAACGGACTCGGGATCCTGACCTCGTGTCGTCCGCCAGCCTCTTCCCGCAGACGCGGCTGCTGAGTCTCCGTGACGAGCACGGTGTGACCAGCTGCTGCGCTCAGATGGACGAAGCCATCATCAGCAGCATCCTCATCCTCCTCCTCCTCATGCTCATGCTGACCACCAGGTGCCATGTTGGAATCCAGCTCCTGGAAAGAGCTGTCGCTTGACCAATCCTCATCGTCTTCGTCCTTTTCGGTGGCAGCGGCTGCTGCTGGCTCCTCCGCCCAGACAATGAGTCGACACATGGCGTCGACGGCCTGCCGCATCTTCTTGGTCGCAGTCCGGGCAATGATTCCGCCGTCCTTGAGCTTGAAGGCCTCCGACTGTACGCTCGCCACCAACTCCGGGTGGTTGCGGAAGAAGCTGGGGATCTGCGCCGTCGGGACCGAGTCCGGGATCGCGTAGAAGCGGCGCACCTGTCTCACACTCGCGGCGTTGGCAGCGACCCACTCCGGACTAGGGTGGGTGGGCCGCGCCGGGAGGAGGTGTTGGCGGTCGAGCCGCGCCCACAGGAACGGCCAGACGTCGTCAGCGCAGACATCCTCCTCTCCGTCGTCGTTCTCTGCCGGGTGGATCCCCGCCTGGGCCTGGGCCTCGTCCTCGGTGATCGGAACCTCGCTCTCGAGACGGGCAATCTCGGCCTCGAGATGGTCGATCTCTGCGAGTTCAGCGTCGAGATGGTCAATCTCTGCGAGTCCAGCGTCCTCCTCGTCGTCAATCGGGAACTCTTCTTCGATCTCGCGGATCTCGGCTGCGGTCATGGCGGCCACGATGTCAGCATCGTCGTCCGAGTCGTCGTCGTCCGGGCCGAAGCCTCGAGCCTCGCAGTCATCCTCGTCCTCGTCATCCTCCTTCATGAACTTCGGCAGCAAGAGGACTGTTGGCGCCGGGTGCCGAAGCTCGGTGTCATTGGCCGCCAATCTGAGGGCCGGCTCGGGACTCCAGTGTCGGTTCGTTGGGAGGGCCTCGGAGGCGCTTCTCGCGAGGGGCTTCCTCGTCACTGATCTCCCCGCCAGAATTTCAATCTCCATGGGTCTTGACGAGTTCGTGTTTCTGGCATCCCGGAAGACCTGTGCTTGTGCCTGCGAGGCGATGAGCCGCTCTCCTCCTTGGCTGGAAGTCGAGGGGGCCGTCGTGTCTGCTAGTGGTGGTGGTCGTCGTGATGGATTGGCGTGGAGGGCTCTGCATCGCTCGCACGTACCAAGGCCTTGAGGGGTTGTTGTGTCGACGTTCTTCTTCGTCTCGCTTCCTCTCCACTTCCTCCTGATGGAGGGCCCAAGGTCGCCGTAGTTCTCCGAAGGCTTCTCGTTGTGATAGGCCTCGCCGCAGTCGAGACACTTGAAGTGAGTCGTGAAGTCAATGTGAGAGGTATTGCTACGTCTCAATCTCGAGACGAAGCCCGAGCCCGAGCCCGAGCCCGAGCTCGAGCTCGAGCCGAAGCCACGAGCCAGGGGCTCCTCCTCGCCATCTTCTTCTTCCTCAAAGTCGAATTTGGGAATCAAGAAGTTGGTGAGCGGCTTCTTACCTGTATTCTTCGAGGCCTCGCTGATCAAGGCTCTAGCCGGTCCCTTCTCTGAAATCCCCGAGGACTCGGGGGTCATGCCTGAAGCTCTCAGCCCAAGGTCAGCGGCACCCATCTCTCTGCTCGCCACAGCGACGCGAGCTTGGTCTGCCGCAAGTCGTTCCTCGTTCTTGGCCGCCTCTTCTCCAGCTTTGAACTCTCTGCACGTCAGGCACAGCCCATGTGAGGTGTTCTCGTAGTACCCGTATAGCCCGGGTTTCTTCTGTCCGTGGTACCCGTCGCCGCAGCGGAGACACCTAAAGGAAACTGTTGTGTCGAGATTCGACATTGTCGTTCTGAGTGTCCGATCTGGTGGTGATGGTAGCGGTGGTGTGGGTTTGTCTGTTGGCTGGTGAAGTCTGTTGTTGTGTTCTTAGTATCGTCGTATGCTGAATGACCTCAAAATCCTCTCCAAGTGCGAATGAATTCAAGACTTGAAGTCTTTGAAAATCAGCCTCAGAGGATATGATGCGGTGGTAGTAGTGGTGTATGTGATGCAGAAGAAGAGAAAACGCCCAAACCAAACCGCTCCATCGCCCACTTATGTAGCAGGAGCCGACAATCCTGTTCCGCGCTTCTAATCGCACTATGCAAGTCTCATGAATAAGAGAGTATGGTTGTTTCTTGGGACAGAAGCTAAACAATTTTCATTGCGGGACAGACACAAAAGCTGGATAACAACAACAACAACAACAATAACAACAACAACACTTTCTTTCACTGTTTACCTCTACGCGAGAATAAGCGAGGCTGCGCAACCATCGGTTGGGATCACCGTCCGACGCTAGACCTAATTAGGACCGGGAGAGCAAACACGAACACAATGCCATTGTACCACGACATCAAGAACAATCGACGGACAGGACGACAAGCTGTTTCTGTCATCGAAACAAACAGACGCGAATAGACAAAGAAGGGGAGAGCAAGAACTGATTCCCCTTGAAGTTCCTTGCCAAGACTTATCACGTAATAAACCTCGTCATCGAAATCGAGCGAAGAAGGCTTCGTTTTATCTAGTGCGGATATATCGAATCTGTCTCTCTCTCCAAGGGGGGGGCTTAATCTGACGAGCAGGATAGACCCAAGAAGATCTCCTGCATTATATATTAACTAGAGCGGCTAATACTTCTTATTTATACAATTGCCAAAAGAGAAAAGAAAGAAAGAAAGAAAGAAAAAAAGAAAAGAGGAAATCTGCGCGGAATCCGCCGCTGAATAAAGACGCTTTGCTTTGCTTTACTTTCGCTTTGATTTTGCTTTACTTACTTACAACCGACCGTCTCGATACGGTATGAAAACTTCCACACTGTCTGTCAAGCTAACAGGGAGATCTCCGTGCTTACGTGATCAGAGGAAGGAAGTCGCGCGCTGCTACGTTCGTTCCGTGCCAGCTTTGATATCCATCTTTCTATTGTCTTTTACTTATATATATATATACATATATATATCTATAAATATACATCTTCTAATTTCTTCTTCTTCTTTCCATCTTGCATCAAAACCGCACCATACACAGACGACCCATACACAGAAATCAAAAGTGGCCAGCCAGTCAGAACCCATCATCGCAGTTGAACAGGTTGTAGACCCCACGCTCCTCCCCTCCCCTCTGCCCCTCTCTCTCTGTCACGATCATTCCGGAAATGTTTCCGATGTGTGATGACGAGTGTTGGAAACTGGGGCAGAGAGGCAGAGAGGCAGAGAGAGGCAGAGAGAGATAGAGAGAGAGAGGAGCAGATAGATCCCAGAGGATAAAGGAGAGGGAGAGAGTGCATGATTTGCGATATCATGTCCATATACCGAGACGGAACGAACGGGACGGAACGAACGGGACGGAACGAACGGGAAAGGAAGTAAGTCGGTACCGGGCCGAGCCGAGGCGAGCACGCTCCTTCTTGGTGCTGCCCAGTCAGAAGAGAGGAAACATCAAGGCATCAATCCTCCCTGACCAAGGCAGGGAGGGGAGTATATCATATATAAACGTCCAATTGATTGTTGCCCGCTTTACTGATATCACAGAAGCTTTAAAATACAGACATGCGTCAATTCATCCCTGACTCACTCCAAGGTCTCCCACTCCATGTCTACCACCCCAAGACTTCTCCCCCTTGGAACGTCTCCCCATAGCCCACGATCATCCAACGCTCTGCACGATCTGCGTATCCATAGTGATCCATCCAACTGTACCACAACTTTACCACACCCATACCACACCCAGGATATCGTACTCAAACATACAGAATAGCAAGCGATGAAAAATGACAATTGGGACTAGCAACGAGGAATTGCGTCGGCCGCCAACACTCTAACCATGTGAAAAGAATGCAAGCTGTATGCTGATCGTAACCCATCATTCACTCATTCCGCATTAAGCCTCATGCAGCCGTGGCCACCCCTTGACCAAACACGTAGAGATACGTTTCGGGGCCCGTTTGATTTAAAAGTCCCAGAAGTCACCACCGGTATCCTGCGCCTTCCCTTGAGTCTTTCCGGTTCGGTATTTGGTAGGTACGTTGACGCCACCCGCCTCTTCGCCATCGCTCTCGTCGCCGAAGCCCCATTGGCGACCAGCTCCCTTCTTGCCTCCCATGCCGTCACCGCCGATGGTGATGCCTTTGGAGCGTTGAGGGATGCTGCCGGCGCCCTTGCGACCACCCATGCCGTCGCCGGCAATAGTGATACCCTTGGACGCCTCGTCGGCTGCAAATGTCGTCTTTCGCCCGCCCATGCCGTCACCGGCGATGGTAATGCCCTTGGGTTGGTCGAATCTGTTGGTCGAATTGGTAGTTTCGGACAGAGGGCCTTTGCTCATGTTTGGTCGGAAACCAGTGGGGGACATCGCGCTGTTCTCTTTTTGGTTTGGAGATTGGTCATAGGCGGCCCAGTTAGCATCCATGTTCTTCAGTACCTTGGCTCTATCCTCTGGGATTCTGTGAGGTGCGGACTTTGCAACTGGAGAGTCATCGGTCATGGTAAATTGAGGGTTGAAGTCTTTGCTTCGCTCCTTGACATTTGCAAGGCTTGGCATCACTGGCACGCCAGTAGTATTCTCGTCATCCTCCTCGAACAAGTTATTGTTGTAGATGCCCATGGCTGGATTCGCACCACCAGGTCCACGTGGCCGGCCGATCAAACGAGGTGCATCTGGGGTTCCATCATCCTGGAATTCAAAGTGTGTCTCGGCGTCTTTTCGTGGCTTGTCAACCTTCTTGATCTTGATAGGACTATCGACAACTTCATCGTCGCTGTTACCCCAGTGACGGACGTCGTTGGTACGGAGGACTTTGGATGGGACGATTTTTTGAGGGGTGATGAAGTCGTCGAAATTCCATTGGCTAGAGTGCTTGCTGCTCTGGACCTCCTTGAGAGGAGCTCTCTTCTCGACCTGTTCATCCCCACCATCGGCGAACTCGAAGTGTTTGTATTTGGAAGGGTTGGCGCTCTTATTGGGTGAAGGACCCTCTTCATCCGGGAGATCAAAGAGACGAGATGGTTGGTAATTCTTTCCAGCGCCACCTTTGGGTGCAATGGTCGCCTTGTTGGAAGATTCATGGTAGAGTTCTGGGCGCGATGATTGGCCTGCCGACGAGTCCTCGGAATCTGGTCCTACGAACAAGTCATGGTAGTTGCGAGGTGCCGGCTTGGCCGAAGAGCGAGGTGCGATGACTGGGGGTAGAGGTTCCTGGTGGTTCTTTTCACGAGGCTGGAAGAGAGAAAGGGATGCGTGTGGGTCGCCAGTAACATTGTTCGAGTTGCCTCTTGATCGGGACTCCTGTCCGTTTGGCGAGCCAGCCTTTCCAGTAGCACTGACGCTTGATGTGATCAGCTTTATCTGGTCTAACCCATCGCGAATAGGCCAATTGCGCCCCGTCCTGCCGATCACATCGATCAACTTGAGGAGAGCGCCCTGGTCCCAGCTTTGTCGAATCTGCTGGATCTTGCCATCAGGGGTGAAGGAGACTATGTGGAGCTACAGCTGTCAGCGCGAACCTTCCATGCGGAATGGTGGTGCATACAATGGGCAGAGTCACAACGCGGTCCGCGAGGAAGTTGTCATCCAGGCCGGGCAGATATGATCCACCGCCGGCGACGAACTCAATTGTGGTGGAGACCTCAGCGGCCAGAGCTTCGGTAGACTCGACGACGTGCAGAAACTTCTCTTCCTTCTTCTTGAGATCATCCTTCTGGACAGCGAGGTGCTTGATGATGGCGGCCGGGCCGTTCAGGGTGACCAAGGTAGTGATGTAATGGACCGAGGCGTTGCTGGCGAGGGCTGATTGGTTCGGCGCGGCGAGGAACTGCTGGTATGCGGCCTGGAGCGCCATCTTCTTCGATGGTGTGGGGGTATTCTATGCTCTCTTTTCCTTTTGTTGTTGCTCCACGTCTTTTTGGAGTATTTTGGATGTCCAGGGTCTCGCAGATGCAGGAGTCGAAGATGTGGAGGTGGAGGTGGAGGCGGAGGGCGGGCCGGCCAAAAGAGACAGAAGAATTGCACTGTGGAGGAGGGAGATCAAGGAGAGATCAAGGGTGATCGAAGCTGGTCGGGGGAGAGCAAGCAAAGCGAGAGTCGGTCGGGTCAGGTCGACGACAGTGTTTGTTGTTTCGCGCCTTCTCGCGATGCGTGCGGGTGACAAGTTGGGTCGAACGGAACGGAATTGAATTGGATTGAATCGGATTGGATTGGATTGGATTGCTACCAAAGTCGCAGAGTCTCAACTTTCGCCCGTCGGGGTCTCGAGTGGTCGTCGGGATGCGATGTTGTGGTGGTGGTGGTGGTGGTGGAGGTGGTGGAGGTGATAGTGGTGGTTGAGTTGGAATGGGAATTTGGGATGAACCCAACATGCAACGACTGTTGATTGTTTATTTCGTGTCTTGTAAGCTTGGCTATGCCGTATCGGGACTAGCGTACTTTATCCTCCGCGTTTCAGAGAATCTGACTGTGAAGCATCCTGACACATGGTCATGTGACAGAGCGATGCAGCACACGGTCATGTGATCTATGTAACACAGTACGTGGTCATGTGACATTTCTAGGGCATCTGTACGATCATACTTCTAACTTCTAGCTTCTAATCAAACCACCCAGTCTATTCGTCAACCTCTCCATCGTGGTTCTTCCAGATACCCTGACCCACAGCAAACACTCGACATATTTATCAGATATATATATATTATATCCCCGACCTCACCTCCATTGGATTCCCAGCCTGGGTCTGGTGACAGATCATGCCTCGGTGGGCAAATGTCTGACCAGAAATGGCGCAGTGACCCGACGAAGGGTGTGCTGCTTGCGTCTCAGGTTGGTGATATATACATACATATATACTTACGCTCTAAGTAGAGAGAGATATTTGGTTCGCCATGTTTCTCTTCCCTCGTCTCAGCTGTTCCTGCAGCCAGCCCGCTGCAGCGCTGGCCATCCACGGGCGAGGCACCATCTCGGTGTCCAGTCAAAACACCAGCGGCTAATATCTTGAGCCTCGAGGCGAGCCTGTTTTCGTGCTCATTGGTGCCACTGATCATCGTATATATGCAGCAGCTTCTCGCGTTGCACTGTTTTCCTCTGACATGCCACACCTGCATGTCCCCGCCACGTTTTCCGCGCGCGATCATCCAGTGAGTTGTGCCCACGGCCATACTAACTTGCTTTTAAGAAGCATGGATCACACCCATCTACTTCCCGATCAATCTCACGCCCTCGATCTTCTGTCTGTCGCTATCAGTATGGCCGCGCTGGTGGCGTTGATGCGGTCCTGCATTGAGAGCTTCAAGTCTACCTCAACTTCTCGGGATTTTGGAGAGAAATATGAACTTTTGTGCACTGAATTGTCCATCCAATGGCTCCGATTGCGTCTGTGGGGTGAATCTGTTTGTTTGCCTCAGTATATCAGTCACTCGGGTACGGCTGACAGATCTCCTAGATGGGACTTCACTTTGATGACGAAGGCCACCTCAAGGAATCACTGGTCACTAGGTCTGATATAGACCCAATAGTGACGAGATGTCTGAATACCATTGCGTTTTTGTTGAACGAAATTGAAATCATTCGGCGGGGCTATGAACTCAAGCCACCCCTTGAGCTTATTATACCGGAGAGCTGCCAGAGCACTGAGAATTCGATCAATCCCTTGAAGCTCCTCGAGAGGCGATCCACTACCTCGCAGATCACCACCTTGTACCAGCGCATGAAGGAAAATCAAAAGCAGAAATCGCTCATTGCTATCACCAAATGGATGTACTTAGATGCAAAGAGGTTTGATGAGAAAGTAAAGAAGCTGAAAGGATTGATTGACGGTTTGGAAGGTGTATCGAGAACTGCTGGTGTCACTCGACAGATAGCAGCACATACTCGGTCTCCCACGGTGCGTTTCGTCGAGAATCCTCCCCCTTACTCTATCAATCCTCCACCTACACGAGCAGGAAACAGGATAACTCCAAACACCACCACGCCTCGACGAGCGTTCATCGCAACAAACCAAAGAGAACTCCCGAGGCATTGCGAGAACCTGAACCGGCATGTGAAACCAAATTCGAATCACGAGGAAGCTAGGAGAGCCAGGACACAACAGAGGCTACTCAAACTTACAGACACACATCTGTACGAACTCCGGATCGACGTGCATGACGAAATGTGCCGTCGAGAGCAAGAAATAGCTCCTGCTTTTCTTCCAGAGAACGTATCATACCACCCAAAGCGGAACTACGCCCGAAAAAGGATATCTACATTACCCCCTCATCGCTTTCGAGATCTCGCCGAGGACTTGGTGTTCGAATTGGAACGGAGGTTCCCCTCTCTGTGGTCACAAACCGTCGAATCAGAACCAGTTGTGCACTTGCCAGACCCATTCTCAATACCAAGAACTGCAGTAACTCGCAGATACGGCTGTGTTCTGCCGCCAAACGTGCCACCGCCCCTTCTCCGGTACCAGGCTGCTCAAAATGGGACAGCATTGAGCCATGTTCATATATCTCCACTTTCTGAATTGAGACCATCCCTGCCTTCGCGCTTCAGCCCAAGTTCCACGACCCTGGAACAAGTAGGAGGGCCAGCTCGAAGTATATCTAAAAAGGAGTCCAGCTCTTCGACAGATGCATCAGGTCCCGGCAGCCATGCCAGCATCAGTATATTCAAGCCTTTCCGTGTCAGCAAGGACGATTCCACACGGAAAGTTCTCCCTGCTGCGTTGAGAATGTATGACATCAACGCACCTTTGGAACAGTACTCGCTATTCATCACGCATGGTAACAAGGAGCGATGTTTAGGTATGGACGAGAAGCCGTTGATCTTGTTCAGGCAGCTATGTGAGGATGGCGAGAGGCCGGTGTTCATGCTGCGAAAGGTTGCCCCGGACGTGATTGAAATATCCTAAGGATGGGCCTTTTGCACACCGCAGTATCATAGGATAGGGAACTTCTTTGGAATTCCGTCTTCAACTTGGATTTGTCACTTAGCATGGTGAGGGACTTTTGGGCGTGGAGTGTGCGAGGAAGGGTAAGTACATCTCGGGCGTCAATGCTTCAAGCGGTCCGACAGCCTTTCATTGCATAATATTCGATACCCGTTCTCGAGCTAGTTTATTTCCTTTCCGCTGCACCGTGCTTGATACGCTTTCAGCACGGTGGTGCTGCTTATGGATCGTAGAACTAAATGCCAGGGTAACACTTCAGTTTCTGGGACATAATGAGTCTCCCTCACGAATTTTCCCAAATATTTAGCTTTCATCTTAGCAGGCAAATTCCGATGTCTTACGCATCTTAATCATTTAATACAATACCCTTTCCAACCCTTCTACAGTAGTCAACAAATCAAGCCTCTTCCCAGACCGCGAGGCAAATCCTCCGATCGATATTTTATCTCGATGAGGTTTTCTTGTTCCTCACGCCCCTTTACGTACTGTTGCATATAAACAAAGTATCAAAAGCGGGGCCGATCGATCGCTGCCTCCTCCGGCTCGAAAACCTTTCCCTACTTTTTTCCTCAGGAGACAAGTGCAGCTTTTTAAAGAAGAATGATCAAAGAAAAGAATCTCAAACGCATTCTGTTTTTCTTCTTCGTCCATCCTCGAAAGGTTTATATTGAGGTTGAGGTTCGGAGGTACCTAGTACCACCTAGGTATCTTAGCGGGGAAACAAGATGGGGGGGTAATCTCAGGGGCTCGCTTAATCGTGTGTTTACAACAATTATCTATCTACGGTATATTTATATGGGGGTCATTAGTGCGAGACTGCCAGCTTGAAGGGAGCGCGATATTTTAGTAAATCTTTGACTTGATGCTTGGGAGATCTTTATGTTTTAAGTTACTTGTGGATTTGAGAATGTTGAGAGCAGGTTTATATGTTAGTAGATATCGTGTACGAATGAGGGTTTGGCGCGTGGGGTATAGATGGTGAGACAGGCAGGGGTGGGTGAGTGAGCTGCTTATTAGTTTCCGTTTTTTTTTTCTTTTTTTTTTCTTGCGATAGGATAATTGGATAGGTAGATGATGTAGACAACTCAGAGGGGATGGGCAGGGGGTTGGGGGGGGGGGGGGGGGGGAGGAGGTCTTCGGGATGGGGGAAAGACGAAATTATTATAACACCGTAAAGGAGGAAAGAGAAGGGCTTCGAGGTGATTGTAAATGACCATGAATCGCCAATCGGTTGTCGTCGTTTACTCGGCTATAGCTTCGTTATCTCATGGTACGATTGGGTGTAACGCTGTGAGAAGAAGGAGAAGTTTTGTCATGCAAATTCAGATTTTGAAGTCCGATTCAAAAGCCAAGGAAGAAATGGCTAAATTCTAGAAACTCCGCTGTATTTCCTGCAAGTTTTGATCTCGTTTGGTGAATTATTTTTATCTATGATTTTGTGTTTGCAAGCGTCCGTTGTAGTTTTTGTCAATCAAACCTTATTAAAGCGAGCCCATCATTCGCGATGTGTTTCATGATCTCCTTTAATCATACAAGTCTTCCTTTTAGTACCCATCAAGCCTGTATTGATCAGCTGTGAGATCCTGCACTTTCTCATGGTTCCAACCCTGATTACCCTCAAGTAGACTCTCAATTTCTCCCTCCACTCGCTGACCATCCCGCCGCTTCCTCCTGATCATTCCGATCACCCTTGTCAAAACCCTTTGGCATTAGCCAGTAGCTTTCCAAGTAACACTCTCCGAACCGTACACACAAGATATCATAAGCAAGAAGAGAATTAGCCACCAGAACCGAGATTTCGTACGCCCCGAGAAAGTACGAGCAGCAGGGCATACAAGCAGCTCAACCCCTAATAACTCGCCGACGTCTCGCGGCACTCTTTCCGCAGACATCTCTCCTCCTCCTCCTCCTCCTCCTCCTCTCGCTCAGCGCGTAACACCTCATCTTCTAGATTTTTACCATCGTCGGGAGACGGGTCATACCGAGGGGTCACAATCGGCGCTTCCAGCTTCCTTCCACCGAGATACCGGGCACGTCACCAAATCGGGCATGGGATTTCCGTAGCAGCGAAGGCTTCTCGGAGCCTCAGGCTCGAAAACTCTCCCTTTCGTCCGGCGCGGGTTCGAGAGGGTGCGAGTTACCTCGTCGTATGTATTTAGTCGTGCTGGCTCTGGGACTTTGATGCGTATCCACGGGAGACGTCTTCGTCGCGAGATGGGACCCCGTCGATGGAAGCGTCGTGGACTTTTGGCCAGGGCCAGAGCCAGGGTCAGGGTCAGCATCTCCAGAGAGATTTGGGCCTTGGGCTCTAATGGGAGGGCGACTTCGACTTTTTTGCAGGCCGGATACTCCTTGGGGATAGACTTAGAGACGGGAGGGATCAAGATCGCGAGCGAAAGGTGGGTTGTGGGTCTGCGTACGAGGTCTTCGCGGGGGGCTTGGGAGTGGTGAGATCCAGGAGAGCCCAGAAGTCCGATCTACCGCCCAAAGAGGATGATGAAAAGGTGGCCAGGTTGACGACCTCGTTAGCCTTAGTGTTCAACTCCGTTTTGAAGGCAAGGGCTCTCGCGACTGCGTCGACACCGTGGAGGAGCTCGTCTTCGGCTTTCTTCTCGCCCGGCTGGAATTTGGTATGTCGGTAGCTGTTGTTCATAGCGAATACCTCGGATCTGTGCGTACGGTGTAGCTCGAATGCGTAGAGCCACCAGTGCTTCGCTACACCGTCGTGATCGATCTGGGGGGATTCTGTTAGCGCCTGTATGTAAATGAAATAACGATTGCGAGGCAAGGATTACCTCAATTGGAGGCCCTTCACGAGATTGCCAGTTCTCCATGCTGGCTCCTTCGATGGTCAAGTCGCCGAACGACATGTTGTTGTTCTTGGCCCACGCTTTCTCTCTCGCAGCAAGCCGTTTGCCGCCGGCTTTCCAGCCTGCAAGCTTTCTCTCCTTCTCTTTCTTCTCCCTCGCCACTCTTCTGACCTTCTTTGCCTCCTCCGTCGAGTGCTCCCATTCATTGTCGTAGACGATGCAAGCAAACTTGGTGGTCTTTTCGGAGGTCCTCGATCGGTCCCGAAAGCAGCTCTTGAGGGCTTTCTTCACGGCTGGCTCTTGCAGAACGGCAGGGCTGCTCAGGCCCAAGCCGCAAGGATCAGCATCGATCTGCTGAGTGACAGAATTGTCCATAGGGCAAGAGTCGGGAGTTCGATTAGCGACTTCCGGTGCAAATCCCTGTGGGGTTTGATTGGGCGAAGGTAACTGTGGTCGAATTGTTTGTGCTTGGAAAAGGGGTGATGACGATGTAGCTTGGAGAAGAGTGGCATGCCCAGCTTGAGGAGCGAGAGAGGGGATCACAGAGGGAGAGCCACTTCCAGATACGGCAGTATTATCGTATGGAAGGTTTTGTGCTGGGCTAGAGAGCGAGGAGTTGGATAACGCTGGGTCGGCATTTGGATCCGCAGGTTCAGCCGTGACTCCTGTGTTGGCCATTGGAACATCAGGGCCGGGGCTCCACTGGGACGGGTCGTATTCTTCTCCATCGTCTTCATCGTTCCCTGGGTCGGATGGCGCATTGGCCTGGTCGCTACGGGGTGAGTACCCATAGGAGGAGAAACCGTTCTGGAAGGAGGGGTCAATTTTCGGGTCGTATGCATTTTCTGCCGGACCTGCTGCAACATCGCCTCTCGAGGTTGGGGTGTTGTGGTGATAAAAATTCGTAGTCTGACTGGCTGTGTACCCTGATAGTCCTGTCTGACTGGATGGGTAGTCTGGTCGGATAGTGGTAGGGTCCAGCATACCAAAGCCAGGGACTTGGTATTGCGGGTACCCATAGTGAGCGTGAGTGAATTGATCTTGGCCATTATTAGGCAACATCGAGTTCTGAATGGCAGCTACAACGGAGAGATCGAGGCCACCGAAGCCCGCAGAATGAGGAGGGGGAGGAGGGGGAGGAGGGGGAGGAGGAGGAGGGGGAGGAGGAGGAGGGGGAGGAGGAGGAGGGGGAGGTGGAAGAGGAGGAGGAGGAGGAGGAGGAGGAAGAGGAGGAGGAAGAGGAGGAGGAAGAGGAGGAGGAAGAGGAGGAGGAAGAGGAGGAGGAAGAGGAGGAGGGGGAGGATACATAAAGCCTGCTAGATCGGCTAGAAAACACGCAGAGGGGTCTAAGTTGACCTCCGCCCCAATACACTCCGGGTTCTCATGTCCATCTTGCCCAGCAGTGTGGGCTTCCGGTCCCTCCTTGGTGTCAGGAGTGTCTGCAATGGGACCTTCGCTGGATTTAGATAATGATTCGGGCAATGTAGTTGTCAGATGCTCACCTGAGATGTCTGACACCTGCTTCTCGATGGCCGACGTATCTAAGATTAGATCGGGTATGGTAGAGGCTGGAGAACCAGCGCTGGTGGTAGGATTTTCGGCAGATGGTGGAGGTGTACGGCCACTAGGACCGAGAGCAACAGGGACAACGCAGACAGTCCATCCTCCTCTGCACAACCTCTTCTTGTTGGCTGGCTCGTCGTCGTGCTCCGTGTCCATGCGTCTTTTCTTTTTCGAACCCACAGCGACCGAAACAAATGGCCGCATCGGCCAAGTGAAGGTGCTGGGCGAGCACTCCCCGTTCCTGAATTCGCCACACACTCTCTTCTTCGGTGGTGCTTCCTCGTGGCATGTCTCAATGGACCTCTTCTTCCCCCGAACTACCGCATTGGTACTGGCAGGAGCTGGGAGGTTGTTGAAACCTGCCGGAGTTGGAGTAGTATCTCGGACCTGCGTCGTTTTAGTAGGCGCCTTCAAGTTAAGCACACGCCGAACTCCGTTGGAGGTACGGAGCTGAAGCAATAGCGAGGACTTACCATCATGGATACCAGAGTACCAGTGAAAAGCTGGCCGAGAGGCCTGGTGATGCGTGGAAAGAACATACTGACTAGAGTCGTCGGTGGTGATGTGGTCTTGAGTAGCTGCTGATTTTGCTCTGCGTCGAAGTTGCTGTTTCGTTCTGAGATCGCGTGAAAAGAAAGTCTCCGGGCGAGGCTATACTGATTTTTCGGCACTAGCGGGAAAGGCTAACCACAATACCTCCAAAGAGGGTTGCTTTGAGGTGAATACTCGCTTCGAGAGTAAACACACGTGACCTTCGGCCCGTACGTCACTGTAACCCTCAACGGGTCATGGGTAACGGCGATTTTCATCACGGCGCTAAGAAAAAAAAAAAAAAAAAAAAAAAAGGCATATACGGTCATCGAAAGTATTTTAATATATATCCAAGATCTAAGCACGAGTAGTATACTAAATTAAGCTATCAAGGGCTATCCAGCTTAGATTTACTAACGCCAACCCTCGCATCTATATAGCTAAAATCTAAAATCTTAACAAATCTCATAAGTTTCTCAACTGAATGCACCGAATCTATACCGCTTATATGATTCGATATAGCGTCTCTCATAATTCCGGCTGCGTACTCTGCAAACCAACAAGCAAACATTACGCATAGCACCTTCAAACCCTTCTGACGCGCTCGACATCTATACCATGACCTTTTTTTTTTCCCGTTTTCAAGTCCTTTGTGCTAGTGCCTGGAAGAGAAATAACAGCTTGGGCTCTTGCACGTCTGTGTACTCCTACCAGCTTCTGCTTCGGCTCGTACTTAATCCTTCAGCTCTGTTCTTACTGGAGCAATGGTGGGCAATGCTGAACAGGAACTGAACCAGGATGTTCAATATGAGTTGGGTTATAACAAGTTGCAGCTCAGGAATTGTTCGCATGCGATATCTCACCCCCTCGATATTATGTAATCGGTGCTTCCTCTGCTCTCGCCCACCCATTTGCAACACTTCTCTCATTTGTATCTTTTGTCAATCTTCTCACGATTTCTCACCCTCCTAAGCTCTCACTCTCTCAAGCTCTGGCCTTTTTCTTTTTCTCAGACGGTAGAGCTTGCTCTTTCACGAATATACGTTTTCTTCAAAATTACTCCATTAGCGGGGTACTAGGTAAGACAAAACATAATTGCGAAAAGCATCAGCTGGCTACAAGACATCTGCAAACCAATAGCTATTTTTTTCTCGTCCTTTGTTCTGTATGGTAATTGTCTGCCGCATGATTGCTAACCCACCGTGTGCTGTTTGCTATGATGTTATGCCTGTTCTCCACAGTGGGTTGATCCGCAAGCTGAATAGCCTCGGCTGCTGTTGCTGAAACCGACATCATGGGAGTTATCCGGATACTTCGTCGAAGCTGTTGATCGGACCGCTCGTAGAGTTACCTGCTTAAGGGACAAACTATCAGCGAAATACTTATATATATATATATTAATGTGTGCGAGCATAGAAAAGAAGAAAGGATATTTGTCTATATTCGCTACCCTGGTGACCGAATCCTGTGAGATATTTCATGTCTGATACGTAGGTTTTGCTTTGGATTACCAGGCAGAGGACCAAGTTCTCTGTAGTGTCACCAACGGGCTAATTACTAATTTGTGTATTAAACTTATTTTAATAAATCGTAATATAAAACCAAATGTATATATAAAAGTATTATCATATTAAAAATCATGGAATTTATAACTTATCATGAGGGGGAGACCCTCTTAACCCCCCTTTATTACTCATATTTTTAATTTTACACCGAGGAGACCCCGGACCCCTTTTATTACTCATAATTATATACTTAATTATATTACGAAAATATCAGAAGTTATAAATGTTATAGAGGTTACAGAGGTTACAGAGGTTACAAAGGTTACAGAGGTGACAAAGGTTACAGAGGTTACAAAGGTTACAGAGGTTACAGAAATTATAGAAGTTACAGAAGTTACAAAAGTTACAAAAGTTATAAGAGTTTAATAATAACAAACCTAAGTTTCTATATCGTAAAGAGTAGATCGTTGAGCAAGTGGTCGGTATAGTTGGTGGACGCGTAGTTATTGATTGATTTTGTTAGAATATTGGACTGCCGCCTATATTCCCTTGTATGGACTAGCCTCTTGGCTCTTGGCTGTTCCCTTAGGAACACCTGTACTTAGGTAGCTCTCAGTGCTCTCATACCTACCTAGGTAATCTACTACACCTTCTGAACTCCTGATTCTATCAGATTTAGATTGACATGGAATAAAAGTCTTGGCACGCTCAGAAATCCTGCCAGACCGGTATAGAATAGTCTCACGTGATTGGATGACTAACCACCACCATAACTACCGGTACTGGAATTTATCTTGGGTCACCGTTAGTGACAAATATTATCGAAATCATCATTGGAGTTCTCGTCGTGTCGATAATTGAGGTCAGCTTATTCGCAGTTGGATAAAATTGGTTTGAGATAGCAGTTTTCTCGTAGGAATATGGGCAATCGAAGACCGTTATAGATTCTCAGATATAGGCATAGGGGCTGTTAGAGTCTGCAGGCGCTGGATTCCGGGCTCTAGTAAAGTAGCTAGATGACCATAGGGAGACTGCAGATTTCACTTTCTCTATTTTCGGGATTTCTGGGAATGCGAAGAGATTTCCATTATTGAGGCAGCTTTCTGCGTAACCATATAGCCTCATGACATTTCCTGCGGCCTGGCCTCCTGTTATACCAATTCCTTCGCTGTCAGCTAAGATAGAGACTTGAATATATGTCAGCACTTCTTCTGGAACTCGAGAGCCAGGATCATGAGTACCTGGTGCAACCAACCAGCCCTCATTGCCTTATATCATCTGGCGCTCGGCGTTTGGCATAGGACCGTATGACGAGGCTGAATTGTTTGATTCTGGTGGTGAGTAATAGGAAACAAGAGGAGACAGTCTTCTCTCTAGAATGGCCATGGGGAAGGGCTGTGTGGACATCATCTGATCAGGTGCGGAGATGGAATGTTCAATGAAAGTCCGCGGAGTCTCTGGCGATATTCTTATTTCCGAGCTACCCCGAGAGTACACCTTGACAGCAGTGGGTTCGACGGGGGGGGTAGGGAGCGCATTCTCGGGTCTGCTTCTCTCTGAACCAATTTTTCGGAGTTGATACCGGACCAAAGGTGAAAAGCAACGAGTGAGGTCCAGGCGCCCGTCCTCACCACTGTACGCAGGCCCTAGGAGTTAGATTGTCCAAACAATATAAGGGGCTTGACTGACGTCTGATGGCGTAGAAACATATCTTCAACAGCCTCCATCACCAGACTCGAGAAGTTCGGCATGACCCCAACCTTATCGTTGATGACAAGCACCATTTGTTCGGTTTGGAAGAGCATCAGCATCCGCTGGTCGTCCAAGGGGCATGTTCCATGGTGTGTGCGACAGAATGCTGCCGTCAAAAACTCCCATCTCTGTTGGCCTTCCCGGGTCGAATGATCGATCTCACGTATATCGTTCTCCCGGTTGGCATATCTTGCTGCTAACACTTCCACTGGAACTTCGAAGGCAGGGTGGTTAGGATGATTCTGCATGCCGGGCGTCAGACAGGTGGTGGTGTTCTCAGCCATATCGGGGTTTTTCAGGGCGTGTTCCCCTTGTCTCTGTTCGTGTTTTTTCTTTGAAGATGAAGTGCAGTCCAGTGCAGTGCACTACATGTGGTGTGCTCCACCGATGGAGATGTTATAGCGAGACGGTGAGATGAGAGATTAAAATCCGCAAGGAAGAAAGAGGCAGCGGACCGACGGTGGAAACGAGAGGCCGGTGGATGGTGGTGGTGGAGATGGAGATGGAGGATAGAGGACGGAAGGCACAACGTTGCCAACGTTGCTGGTACGCGAGCTATAGTAGGTAGCTTGAGCTACCGCCAACAAAACAATAAATACAGCGGCCCCAGCTCACCACGCACAATACCCAACAACAGGCGATTAAGCTCAACTCTCTCATGAATACGGTACCGGATGACTGAGTGACTGTTCTTATTCTGCTCTATCAACACTAACAGATCACCTACCTAGACACGCAGCTTAATTCCTCTTGGCAGAGATCCGAATCCTCACGCGACACTCGACCCCGACCCGATATCGCGGAAGGTTTTTGAGCTGCGGATAGATATTCATGATTACCTTCCCTTAGACCTGGACTGGTGTAGTCTACTACATAACCCTCCGCCAAAGCCTCGCCGACGATAGCATACCCTTCGCCGCTGGATCATGTTTCGGTGAGGAGACTGGCAATCAACTCCTCCGAGCCATCGTCCTCCTCCTCCCTACGCTGCGACAACATGTCCTCACTCTTTATAACACTCTCAAAGCCGCCCTTCGACCCAACCTCCTGCTTCTTGACCCAATAGCGAATCCTCTTTACAGCCTTCAGCGACTTGTGCGCATTCTCTAGTGTTTCTGCCGGAGAAGTTGCTTGGCTCATGACTTCATGATCTTCAATCGATCTGAGTTCAGCCGCCTTCTAGAAGATATTCTCGTGAGCTCCAAGCATTTGATACCAACGTGCTAACATTTTCTTGGTCTGTCCAGCAAGCCATATTTCAAGTTCGCCTTCCGCAGGTACCCGGCGTTTCGGGTGCAGATTTGCAAAAAACTGTTCTGGCAGTTTCAGTTCGTGGCATAAGTTTACCTACCCTCCGAGGGCCACTGAGCTGCACAACCTGCCGTTTTCTTTTCGGAGACTCTGTAAGACTTCGAGTCTTGGGTGACGGCCGATTCGCAAACGCAGACTGGTACTTCTTGGGCTTTGGAGAACACTTCGCTTGGGCCGGTGGAGGAGGATACACTACGGGTGCCGTCGCAAAGGGCGAGAGGCTTTCTTGAGGATTGAATGATGGCATGAGGTTCCGGGGAAGTACGATTTGTGCAGGTCGAGATCCGAGAGGACGAGGCGGTGCCATGTTGACGCTCGAGAGAGCCATCCACGCTTTGACTTACACAATCGATCAGAATACCTTCGGAAGCTCTAGCTCATGTTACTTTCGCTTGCCTCATTGCCGTTTGTTCCGCCGCTATTGTCACTGTCAGGATGTAGTGCGGATGTTCCCGGCTTAAGCTCCGAAGAAGCGCGTCTGCGCTGCGGAGATGGACAGATACTTTGCCATTCCGCCTTTGCGTGAGGTTCTACGTGGTATAGCAGCTATGTTGAAACGCCATGCTGTCGACCTTGACCCCAAGTCGTTGTCGCGGATGGAATCGACCTCAGACCTCGTACTCCTGCCAATGTATTACATTCCAAACCAAAGATCTTCACTTGAGGCAATTCGTCCAGGGCGATGCGATTTAATCGTAGCGAGGCATTCCCGGGCGGCCCGGGCCAGCAAAGCCAGCTAGATAAATGTGCGGTCTTTTTGTCTCGATTTAGATCGCCAATTCAAGCATCAGGATTCTCTTGCTATGTTCTGCGGCGTCTAGGTTGCGGTTGTGTTCAAGCTTTTCACCACCTACGGTGGGAATTCAAGCCTTCGAGATACTTCGCTTCGATGTCCGAGCTCAAACCTTTGAAAGTGTAGCAGTCTTCTCACAAAGAATAATTAACAAAAGTACAAAGTTGATTCCTATTACTATACTCCTACACTTATGCTCTATGAACATTCCAAGACCGCGCGCCCTCCATGTGGCTTTGTGTCCGGTAGTCACTCAAGCATTGTATTTGCAGCGTCGTACTTGCCCTATAGACCCCGGGGACGGAGACTGATTGCTACCCATCCATTTGTGCCTTCTGTCAGGTCCTGAACACTCTCCTCGGATTCTATACTGCTTCTGATACTCTTCTCGACTTCTGTCCTTATTCTGAGGTCTTCTCGAGCTTTCTTCAGATATTCGGCCGCTGCCTTTCGCGCTGCCAAGAAAGGAGAATGTCAGCTCTTTTCCTGTAACAAGGGATCTCGCAGGTGAGCTGGGAGGAGACAGCGAGCGGGAGCGGCCGGTGCATGGTCACAGAGAAGTCAAGTTCTGCGGGAGTGTCAAGCTTACTGGGGGCCGATTCGTGGAATGCCGTCACCCGAAGCCTCTCCCTTCTCTGACGCGGAGTCTCGTGCAACTCCAGAAGCTCTTGCCATTCTGCTTCCCTTTCCTGATGGGCCTCTTTCCATTGGTGAATCCAGTATTTGAGAGCCACAGCAGCCGGCAGAAACCTCGAGACGACGTATCGACGGTACAGAATGTGCGCCAACTTGATCTCGTGAGGAAGTAGGTCCCGAAGAAGGAGCTTGCTGGCCTCGGTATCAGAATCGTCCGAACTGTAGTCTCGCTTGCTCGGCAATCTCCTGCGGTATGGCGAACTGTACTCGGTTGCAGTTGGAGATGTCTCGTCGAGTGGTCTCTTCGTGCCGACTTTGAAGGTGAAGGATCTCGGGCTTTTGGGAGGCGAGTGGTTTGCTGCCGCGTTCTCTGGGAGGCTTTCTTCTGTGCAGCGAGTGAGTGGTAAGAACGGGGGCGAGGTGTGCTGTGGTGGCATTTGTTTACTTACCTCGTTCGTTCGTCTCGTCGCTCGTATCAGGTACTGTGTCGAGAGCGGCTTCTTGGGGCGGATTTATACCATCTGCGTGGCTCCCATGCGCTTGATATGGGGAATCACCGCTTCCTGCTTCGGACTGCTCCATATCCTCCTCCTCCATCTCACCATTGATATTCGAACCCTCATTCATGGTATAGTGTATAGGAATACAATTATGTTCTATAGAGAGAATAGAGACCAAATCAAGAGATTGGGCTCAATACGTCGATGTGAGGGGAAAAAAAAAAAAGAAAAAAAAAGGGGAGTTGAAGCAGAGGGCGGAAGAAGCGCCACGTGATGATGAGCCCTCCCCGCCGCTAAACGGTAGATTCTCTTACTACGTAAATTCCACTTCAAGTGCCGCATAGTATCTTTCTATTGCAGGAAAGGCTTCAAAGTGGGCTCAGTATGGTGATTGGTGATTCTCCAAGCGCTGTGGAGCAAATCTAGTGATTTTCGGGCGTTGTGGGCCTAGTTCAACGGCTATTGGAGTAGCGTCTTAAGCGTTGCTGAGTGCAAAGCTAGCTTGGACGACTTCAATGTTTTTTTTTGACGTAGCATCTTAATGGAATCTGGAATAGTGCTGACGAGGCAACCAGCCTACTGCTCCAGACCATATCTCCCTCCTCTCTATACTCTGTATCAGGCGCTAGAGACTAACTATCCTCAAGACGCTAGAATCTAGTGTAATGCTAGGATATTTCGACATAAACTAGTAGTAGTGCATCTACAGGAGTTTCAAGCCTGTAAGGAGGCTTAGGGAAAGAGCTCTGCAACACTCTATGGAACCTAAGTCAAGTTGGGTTCGTTTTGCCGAGGAGAATATGAAGGGTGTTTTCTTGCACGGTGATGCGTACATGGAATGTGTCACTACTATAGCAGCGTATTGTAGAAAGAGACGTGGAATCTCAGTAGTGCATTTTGGTTCGCTGATGCCCTCAATCGAGGAATACCTCAGTCATCCAGATTCTGCCTGGCACCTTAAGAGAGACCTCCGCTCCCGCTCTCTCTTTTACCCATCCGAGGATATACAAACCCCCACGTACCCCCACCATCACAAAGAGTAGCGAGTTGTCCAACAGAAGCGAAGGTTCGAGCCGCTTTTGGCACGATACTTCCCTAGGATTGGATCTGAAGAGAAATGTCAGCACAGGCCCATTGGCAAAAGGAATGCCAGATATCACCTCCGGGATAAGTCTCGAGAGAGTACGAGACGGGATCCAGGTCTGTACTGTACATACCGCAGCTAAGCTCCCACTCTGCTCTCGTCTGGACTGCCTCGGAAAACCTAACGCTGCCATCGGCGACTCGGTCATCTTCGACAACCCCCTCTTCATGATTTCCACCCTCCACAATGTAAGGCTCGTCATTGAGGTCATCAATGAGGTAGCGGCCCGCAACTTCAAAGTCGGGGTGAGAAGGGCGATGAGAGACTACTGGAGCCGGTGCTTGGTCGTCGTCGTTGAAGAAGAGGCCGGGAGGAAAGGTAGGGGTCGCAGGACGATCTGCGGGGGTAAAAAAAACCAAATCAGTAGGTATTCTGTAGCAATTCTCGGACCTCGAACACTTCCGTGGGCTGGGCTGACAGTCTCGTGACGCCCAGAGAAAAGTGGAAGCGTACCTGGTGGCGATCTTGACACGTCGTCGTCGCTACGGTACACGGAGTGCGCGTTATCGCCATTGACACATGGTCTCGTGGCCGCGCCCTCTTCAGGAAATTCCCTCTCGATCTCCATGAGATCGTCGAGCTCAACGTCCCCGAGGTCGCTGGTCGAGTTCAGCAAGGCAGTCATGCCGTCGTCGTCCGGTGCTTCTACTCCTTCCAATTCCGGAAACTCCTCCTCAAGGTCAAGCCACGAACTATCCTCCATCATCTCGTCCTTCTGCTCAGCTCCCGATCCTGCGATATCTTCATCTTCGTCTTCTCCGAGGTCGATCTGCTCCGCGGCGGCGCCTAAAGAAACGCGAACAAACCCATCGGCGTCTTTGTTGTCAGTATAGGCCTCCTCCTGCTTTGTGGCCCCTTTGCACATACCTGAAAGGGTCATGGTGATACGCTCCTTGTTCTTCTGATCTGTTGACATTTTTGCTTGTTTTACTTTGGGGTTGCTAATAAGAGAGTGAAGGTGAAGAGGAGAGGGAACATCTTATACAACAAAGTGAATTGGACAACCAAGCTAGCGAAACGAAATTTTTTGGGGGAAGTATTCGAGTCTCATTTGAGGCCGCTCCAAGATGAAAAATAAAAGTCATCAGTTCACCCTCTGTCGCGAGTAACCAGCTGTTATCCTACTCAGTCTTGATTCGGTCGTCCCTTTTAAAAGCAGATTTACTCTCAAATGGTCATCACCCGAAGAGCTTGAGTTTAAAAAGTAAACTCAACATTATTGCAGTTCTATGGCTAGCTCTCTTATGTAGATTGCATGTTTGCACAAGCAGCAAAGGGCAGCATCCTGCAGAGGGGTTTTCTATGTCTGACTCCTACCTGAGCGCGACACCTCTCGAACTATGCTCTGGGACTCTGATCACGACCATTACTATTTTGCTACAGCTTTATGTGGAATTTTCTGAATGCTCAATTCGAAGCTGCGACTTTCTAGTCGCTTCCAGCGCATGAGGGTAATTGGCCGCGTAGGGCCGGCGATGTAAACGAATGCTTTCCCAGCTCACTGCCGCACATTCTACTCTCGGCTCCTCTGTAGTCCCGTCCTTCATACCCTCAGATTTTCCCATGACAAGACGCAGGTCTTGATATTTTCTTTCGAATTAAGACCGTACCCGATGAGCTATATCGAGAATCACACATGGGCGAGGCATACAATAGATATGTTGGGCTTGGCTACCGAAACATGCACGCGGAGAAACCCCAGTTCTTCGAGTGTGGAGAGGCAGTCGGATACCTCCTTTGGAAGCTTCTTTCTTCGCTATACGCTGCGTTACTGGGACGCGTCTCCTTCGTCGCGATCAGGTTCTTGCATAGGATATAATCTGGTACATATATACAACAGCTATCAGGTGAAAACACTTTCTTCCTCTAGCCCAACACCTGATCATCGCTGACAAAAGACAAGGAATACCGCAAGCCGCTTTGTTGGTAGCATCTGTGCTTCAGCTTATCATTGGTTGACTCGATGCGTAGGACTTCTTCCCACGACGAACCTACATGGTTGTGCTCAATCCCTAATTCTCGAAATTTCGCCAGCTCATCGACGGCTCCACCCCAATCATCCCCACTCGAAGTCGAGCCCTTGATCTCCCAGAGCCAAGGCTCTCTCCTCACCACTGTCCGTCGATTACCTACGGTCGCTGTCCTTGGAGCAATTATCCTTGCTGCAAACCACCTCTGTCCTGCGATGCGCCACACGTGAGATACTCGACGTGGTTCGGTAGATGCAGAAAGAGGAAGAGAATGAGAAAGAGATGAAGATGGAGACGCAGATGGAGATGGAGATGGAGATGCCCGGACGAGAGCCCCAGTGCTGGAAGTAGCGAGCGCCTCCGATCCCGTCTGTTCAGCCACGAGATTTTCGTCGTCGATGCTATCATTAGCTTCCATCCTCTCTTCCATCTTTTCCTTTCCACCAGACTCCTCACTGTTCAAACTGATCCCTGTGCATGCTATTAGAATATCGGCGGTATCGGTTGACGTAGAGTTATTGAAAGCATGGTTAGAGGGCTCCACCCTCGAGGAAGGAAGCTGCACCGGTGTCAGATCTACATCTATGTCATGCCTGATACCCGAACTCACCGGCATTGACTTCCTATTTCCACTTCGTAGCTCATGGATCCGTAGGCCAAATACGACTGTTGATTCTGATGGCATTGCGGCGGCTGGGAGACGGTGGAAGCGTTTGACGTAGGTCATCGAGTCCTTGACTTGGGTTCTCTTGTGATGGTCGCTCAACGAATTTTGAAAGCTTGTAAGCCGCTCGGAGCTGGGAAAGAAAGAAAACCGAAACGTATCTCTGATTGAGGCGTTGAATCGAGCGCTCTAGAGGTACAGACCGAAAACATTCTCTTGAAAATCTTAGAAAAAGTCGCTCGTGATCTGCCCCGAAGATCGAAATTTGCACGAGGAGAATTCCGAATACCAAAAGAGGGGAAGGAGGTACGTGAATTCGCGCTCTGCTTGAAGTACGATGTTTTATCAAAGATCGGTCGCATGGAGCTTGGTATATCGAGAGTAGCATGGAAGGGATACGTTGCGGTGCTAATTTATAGATGCCTCAATTGCAAAGGTGAGAAGTTCTACGACAAAGTGCTAGCTAGAAATTAGCCGAGAAACAGGACAAGGTCACGAAAAGGAGCCAATCTATGTCAAGGTATCCCCGGTGGTTTAGTTAAATAAAAACGGGCATTTTCATCAATTTTAGGACACGTAGAACATGGTGACCCTCTATGATCTAAAATCCATAAGCTGGAGTGGTACGTGGTAATATGTCAGGGAGTCAAGCTCCAGGAGAGCACACAACTGCTGATTTTCGAATGAGCTTCGAGTTGAGGATTGTACTTGACTGTGAAACCAAATTATCTTATCTAGAGAAAGGCTCATTTATATGAAAGGCATGAGCTTGATACACGCACAGCCCTCCAGATATTCTAGGAATCTTATCCCCGCTCCCGTCCCATTCAGATCGTCATCATAGACTGTTATGTCTCTTGAGGAAGCCAGCGACATTTACCACGGGAGAACTATTGGTGAAGATGCCTGAAATTTTTGGTTTGTTGGGCTGGGAGGTTGTCTTCCCGCTCGTTCAGATTGATCAAGTTCGCCGGTTTTTACGCCCACGCTATGGAGACTCCCCGGGTTAGTTAGGAATTTGCAGGTCCAGCAAAAATATGATGACTGGATGAGTGCTACGAAAAGTAGACTCACTCCATAAACCCACGACAGAGAAACTTCTATCTGGGGGTTCAGAGGCAGCGACTCCTATAATAAAAGCGACCTTTGGCCCGGGGCATCGCTAAAGATACATTCTGTAGATAAAATGTGTCTAAGGCTGTCTTGTACTCTGCCACGGATGTCTGAAAGGTCTTCCCGGCTTGCGTTCGGGTCTGTTTGATACCAAGCGGTGGCTCTGATCCGCCGGGCACTTCTCAGATATGCCGCCATCCTCCGCCCTTGTCGCTCAAATGTGCGTTCCCCGGATCGGACAGTACCCAGAAGATGCCGCTGCTCCGGCCTTGTATTGGCAGCGGTGATGGCATCTTCAGCTTGTCTCGCATCTTAGGGAAAGTACGGAGCAAGCATAGCGGAAGGTGGAAGTAGATAAAGATACGCTTAGCACCGTAGATGTTTGGAGCCAGATGTAATAACAAATGGTACTTCGATACGATTATAGAGAAGTACCATACCGCAGCAAAAACATCCAAGCCTCTTGACATCGTTCACAAGCAGGCACGTTTACGCCCTGACGAATTGTACATGGCAGACACAGCTCGCTTCAGCGCACCAGAACCAATCGCCTTCCTCAAAAAGTAAATACATTTCATTGTAAAACAAGAGATGGTTTGAATTTTAGAGAATAGCAACAGACCTCGACCCTGGCGTCGCCATCAGGATTTTGGACAGACACTTGAAAATCTGTCTGTCAATGCATCTTATAAGAATGAAAATCCTTGCATTGTTATAATTCTTGAGTCTGTCTTTGTTATGCCTCAGCAAACTCGAATTGGACGGGGTCACTTATTGGACGCGCCCGCCAGCCTTTGATCTGGACCCCGATAGAGGGGATACACGCGCAGCAAGAACATGTTCCCGGGTCCCGATGAGTATATTCTGCATATACTACTTATCCGTAAGAATCTTCTGGAAATCAAATTTCTTGAGAGTATTAGTAGCAAGCCTCAGGCGGCCTTAAGCGGAATACATGCCTCTTGAATCGCTAGAGCGGCAGAGTCAGGCATCCTCAAATAAGTTACGCGCCCCGACATGCACAGAAAAGATGCAAAGTGACAGTTCTATCTATAGTTCTACCACAGCATAGAACAATGATTCGATGATGACCTCGTTCACAGGGTTGTTGAAATAATCTTCGTAGGTGCCTTCAGCACATTACCCCAGTCATATCAGCTTCTTCAATTGAACACAATGCCTCCATCAATGACCAGTGTCTGACCGGTCATGTAGTCACTGTCTGGACTTGCAAGAAAACTAACGGTCTTTGCCACGTCCTCAGGAACGCTTGTCCTTCCCAACGCAATCATACCGTCCGAAAACTTCTTGATGGTGTCGCCCTTCTTCGCACCCGTCTTCTTGCCCAGCTCCTCGTCGATCACGTCCCACATAGCAGTGCCGACAATGCCAGGAGCGTAGCCATTGACAGTGATCTTGTGCTCTGCCAACTCCATCGCGAAAGCCTGCGTAAAGCCCCGTATAGCGAACTTCGAAGCTGAGTAGTGGGAGACCATGGGAAATGGTTTGAAGGCGGCGATACTGTACCACTGTGTCAGATACCCCCTGGGAAATTCTCGTATGAGGGAATACAGACCTCGCTGCACCGATGATTTTGCCCCCGCCTCCCTGCTTGATCATCTGTTTCGCAGCCGCGCTGTAGCAATTGAAGACCCCGAACACGTTAATCTCAAACATCCGCCTGACCTCCTCTTCTGACAGATCAAGCAAAGCTTTGACTTGTGCAATACCTGCATTGGCAATCATGACATTGAGAGGACCGAGGGTGGCTACGGAGTTATCGATGAGTCGTTCTACCTCAGCGAGCTTTGAGACATCTGCTGCGTATCCGTATGAGGATCTCCCCAACGCCTGGATCTCTTTGACAGTCTGGACGTAGATTAGATCGGTTTCGGCTCTTCAATTAGGAGACCTCTGCCCAAGCCAGTATACCTCATCAATCCTGGCTTGATTGGCCGGGAGGTCGTTTATGCAAACGTCGAAACCGTCTTCTGCAAGTCTGATTGCTAGGGCTCTGCCTCTGTTATTTTGATTAGCTCGATTTCAGGCCAACTGAGAGCTGCAAGTCTTACATTCCTTGTGCAGAGCCCGTGACAATAACAGTCCTCTTGCCATAGTCTTTGGTCACTGCGGTACTTTTACCACTGCTTGCCATTGCTTGCTTGCTTATATTTTGAGGTGACTTGTGTTGATTTATAGAATTGTCGGATAGAAGGTTGAGTTAGAGGTAGTTCAGTCCGATGAAAGAGGAGGACATATCCCTATTTATGCACCACAGTTCAATGAAAACGAGGGGTACGGGGAATTCAGGGAAACGCAAGTCCGAAACTCTACCTGCCATGGCCATACCGGAGAGCGGTCTCTGTTCCGATACATCAAGTGCCGATCGATCGTCTATCTATACCCCGCGTCTGTTGATAATTAATTGGTGGATGACAACATCCTATGTGCATTCTATTCCATATGGTTCGCTGATTCAAATAAGGACGACTTGCGATTGATCCTTAATGCCCTTAATTTGCCGCTGGTTAAGGGAGACCTCGGAAGAGGTACTCAGGGGGATGGATTACTTGATGCTCGTGAACGTGGACAAAACCATGACTTTATAGAAGTCTGATCCCGACCATAAGCCAAGCCCTGTTCGGGTATCAAATCGTCTTCGGTCGCGAATTATACCGATCACCAATATCTGGACGCCTGGTCGCTCGAGTGGTCACTGCTCAGAAGCAGGAGGGCTCCCGAGAGCATCGCCGGGGAAATACGCCGTGATTATACATTATTCGCAGACTTTTCTGCTTCATAAATTACAACTTTGGTCCGGAGCCTTCGAACAGATTCGTAAAGGCATGGTGGACTTCATCCGTCAAATCACTTGCCTGCAAGCTTCGTCCTTTGTTTGCAAATGCCAATCTCGAGCATTCCTATTGTGTGTCAGCGTGGTAGATAGCCAGAGAAACCAGACATACCCTCGTTACAGAGCTTCCACCGAACGCCGCCAGAGCCAGCAACTCAACGGCATCCAGATCCTCCTCGTGGTCCCACAGCTTGTCCAAATAAGCCTTTCTCCATCCTAGAAACGTGGCCAGGCTACCTGTCAAAGTATCTCCTTGGCCGCCGCTCCGTTTCAATCCTCCCTCGAGATCACTGACGAGGGTCTGTTCCCCATTCGAAATGTAGTCCTTCGCACCCTTCTGAACAATCGTGACGCCACCGAACGCCTTCGACAGCTTCTCCGCTCCCTGTCCCGCATCAAGGCCCGCCGTATCGATTCCCTTACTCTGACATAGCCTCCCAAACTCCACCACGTTCGGCGTCAGTATGCACTCCCGGTACCCTTGCACCAACTCCGGTCTGGTCTGCGCCAGACTCAACCCGTCCGCGTCCAGCACAAACGGCATATTCTGCTCCCTCGCAGCCTCCAGAATCTTCGCGCACGTATCCAGCATCAGTTGATCTCTACCGAGTCCAGGACCAATCACCAACACGTGGAGGCGCGGTAGCATATCGATGACGCTCTTCGCAATGGAAGTCGCAGAGTCAGAGCTGCTGGCATGCGTGGACTGGCGCATCAATGGATGTACCATCAGGTTCGGAGAGTAAGTTTTGATAACTTGGCCGGCCTGAGGTTCGCATATGACATGGCTCTGGAGGGGAGAAAAGAAGGCAATCATTAGTTGAAGGATTGAAATGTTGTGTTATGAAGTGGGATGGAAATGGAGGGCAACGGTGTTTGGGAGGAGAGGCCATGCATACCATGTCGGCGCCGAGCCGCGCGCTGGCCATGGCGGAAAAATAAGGTGCGCCGGTGTAGTCCTCGCTGCCTCCAACGACTGCAATCCTGCCCATTTGACCTTGGTGTTGTTAGCATCATTTTGTTGGATAGTGGTGGCGGGTGGTATAGAGTATGGTACTGGGTCTTTTTACCTTTATGGAATTTCTCCAGCAATGGCGGGACCATCTTCCCAACTTTGAGCAAGATATCTCTGGTCGCTTGAGACATTGGTGGCGTTTCTTGAGGCATTGGAAAGATGAAGTGGGTGGTATGGTATGGTCTGAAGGATGAGCTCGGATGTAGAGGTCGGGGTTGAGATTGAGATACGGTATTGAGACTGGATTGGAATATGAGGCCTATGATGTCATTCAATATTTTGCACGATATCGTACCTTAAAGGGTAGTAAGGGGTCATTTAAATGGTCTTCTGATCCTCTCTTATAAAACACGGCCATTAGACCGCTTAAATTCAGTACTAAGCTCTTTTCAAGAATAGTTTATCGAAAAGACCGTCCCATTGAAAGAGACCGTTTTGTAGCCGTCTTATTACCCGTCTCCGTTTATAATTCTAAAACAAGCTTGTTAATAAGCTCGTTTTAAAAAATTAAAATAGTTCGATGACCATTTTAAAGAAAATATAATTATAAATAAAAACCATCTTTTAAATAAAATTGTTTTAATAATAATTCAAGAAGTTCGACGCTAAGATATTTCTCGGTATCGCTACTACTGTGACGACCTTAAGCGATTACCTGAAGGAACTCACGGGAGCGCGAAGGTTCACATAAGAGCTCAAGAGAATCTCAAAGTAATGACTTAAAATCAACAACTACCGAATGTAAAGGTCGAAAGTAGCTGAAGTCTATATATACGAAAGTAAAAGCGCTAAGGACTCGTGAACCATAGTTCATAAGTCAAAAAGCGAGGAATAAAAGAATACGAAGAATACGAAAGAAAAAAAGAAAGAAGTAGCTTAACGCATATAAAGTAGGTCCAAGAGATTTAGCGTATCGTTATACTACTTCCCCGTCCGAAAAAAGCTCGTCCTCGAGCGTCTATCTATTGCTTTATTATTACTCAAGTGATCGTAGTCATTAATACCGTTCGAATAAGCCTTGATCTACTCGAAGAGCTTCGCGAAAAGGCCGAAGAGCTCTTTATGTTCTAAATGAAAGTTACGTACTTTAAAAAGAGCGTATATAAAGTCGAAAGCGAAGTATTAAGTAAAGTCAATGTCGCGGCCGAGCTAAGAAGCGCGGTATTCAAAGTGCTTCTTAGTTTAGCGTACCGCTAAGATGTTTTCTACTTTGTACTCAAGTTCGCTAATAATATTAATCGGGTCAAGTTCAAGAATGATTTGCCCGAAAGTAAAATTATTAAAAGCTTTTCGTAATCGTCCGAAGTAAAAGACTAAGTGAACTTTTATTAACTCGAAGAGCTTGAGTTTAAAGCTGCTATAAACGTTATCGGTAACTTCGAACGGTCCGTTCGTCGGGTTATCGAGCTTCTTTAACGGTCGAGAAGTAAAGAACGGGCGCATATCTAACTAAACTTTATCATTAACGTCGAAGTCAATCGAGCGCTTTGATTTATTAGCTTGTTTAGCTATGCGGTCTTAAGCGCGCTAAAAGTGCTCTTTAACGAAGTTTTAAGCTCCGAAGTAGCGGTTAGCGTAAGCGCGAGCTTCGTCTTAATTAAGCTTGCGAGAAAGGGTTTAGTCGTTAAGTCGTTTTAAGCTCTAATTCTAAGTAGTTCGAAAAGCGTAGCCGTAGATTACTTTAAAAAAAGAAAGACCGCCGAAAGAGTCGTGAAAGAGCGTTAATTAAGCGAAGTCTATTATAAAAAGGAACTCACTTTAATCGTCTTAATAGTAGCTTACGAAAAGACGAAAGCGCTTTTGCAAGTACTAATTATAAATTTCGATTTAACCGTCAGTTTCGAAGTATACGGCGGTGTTAAAGGTCAGTTTAATGCCGAAGATCTTATTAAATTCTTTCTAGAATTCGGACTAGTATTAAGGTCCTTTATTAAAAGTCAATGTCAAAAGAGCTTTAAAATACTTATAGATATAATAGATATAAAGCTTAGCGAAGCCTTTAGCGTCGATAGACTTATAATAAAAGATCGAGATTGCTTGCTTAAAAAAGCGGTCGATTATTACAAAGACGTTATCGTAGCCGTGCTTGTCTTTATTAAAGCTATAAAAATCTATAATAACGTGCTCTTAAAAGCGCGAAAAGATCGAAAGAAGTTAAAACAAACTAAGTTTTTTATCGCGAAGCATTAAAGCTCGTTTGTAAGCGTAACAGTTACAGCAATACTAGTTGACGAATCTAGCTATACCGTGCTAATAATATTATATTGCAAAGAGCTTATAAGTTTTGCGAGAGCTAAAATATGTCGTAAATACTTGGTCGTAGACTTTTTAAACGAGTAACGAACGCAAGTTTTAAACGTCGAGAATTAATAAGCGGCCGTCATAAAGCAGCAGATCGCTTTTTATAATGAGTTTAGCTCGTGAACCGTAGTTTACGAGTAAAGACTCAGCTCTAAAAGCTTAAACTCGAAGTGCTATAAAGCTAAAAGCGGTCCGATTAGCTTTTAAGACTTAATTAATAACTCGGAATATCGGTAAAAGCTTCGCGATCTCTTCGATAATGACGGCGGTCTCCGAAAGCGTAAGTTAGCATAGCTCTTCGGTTAAGAGTCGTAAGTCAACGTTGTCGGCGCAAAGCAGCGTTTGCAAGCGTTAAGTGCGCTTAAAGCTATTCTAAAAAAAGAGCTCTTCGATGCGACGTATCAGCGCGTTAGCTAGCGGGTTGTCTTTATTTAATCTATACGTAATGATAAAGTTGTAGTCGGAAAAAAGCTTTGCTTAACGTGCTTAACGAGCGTTAAAAGTCTTAAAAATCATGAAGTACTTTAAAGCCTTATAGTCGATAATTACTTAAACTTAATAAAAAGAGCCGGCGAGTTCGGCGCGGAAGTTATTAAAAGAGCGTATAATAGCTAGCATCTTTTTGTTGTAAACGACGTAATTAAGCTTAGCGAAAGCTATAGTTTTAAAATAGTAAGCGACTAATAGCTAATCGGAACTATGCTTTTAAGAAAAGACTAAAGCGATTACGCCGTTTAAAGCGTTAGTCTTTAGCATACAAAAGAGGTCTTAGTTGTAATGTTATAAAATTAACGAAGTAGTTAAAGCGAACTTTAAGAAGTCGAAGCTTCTTTAACACTAAGAATTAAATAAAAAAGGAACGTTAGCTTTAATTAAGTGCATTAAAAGCTTCGCGATCACGCCGTAGTCTCGAATGAAACGGCAATAGAAATTATAAAATTTAAAGAAGCTTTAAACGCTTTTAACGGTTATAAAAAGCGCTTAATGCTTTACTATCGACGTCTTATCCGGATCTACTTTTAAGCTTTCGATAGAAATGATAAAGCTTAAGTATTTTACTTTAATAGTATTAAATTCGCATTTTTTAATATCAACTTAAAAGCTAGCGTCGTCGAATCGTTAAAGAACTTAACGGACGTAATAAACGTGCTTTAAAAGGTCGAAAGAATAGATCAAGATGTCGTTTAAATATGCCGTGTAAAAGATATTTAAAAAGTCGAAAAAGAGGTCATTTATATAGCGTTAGTAAGTAGCGAGTTTATTAGTTAATCCGAATAAAAGAACCTTGTACTTATAAGCACCGTAGCGTATTCTGAATGTTATAAGCTTTTTTAAAGCTAGGTCTATTCGTATTCTATAAAAGGCTTGCCGAATATCGAGTTTCATAAAGATTTTAACTTTTAAAAGACGTACGAAGGTCTTATCGATCAAAAAGAAAAGGTATCGATCTTTACGAGTAAAGTTATTCAGCGCGCGGAAGTCAATATAAAAGCGAAAGGAACCGTTTTGCTTCTTAACAAACAAGACTAAAGCTGCAAATAGCGCTATTAAAAGTTCGATAAAACCTTTATTAAAATTGTCGATAAAGTAAGCTTTAGTAAGCTCTAGCTTAAAAATCGACATCTTGTATAATAGTAAGTATCGAAGCGCTTTTTCCTTCCTTTCGAGAAGCTCGATTTTATAGTCGTAAGGCTTATATAATGCTAACACGTTGCTAGCGGCTTTAAAAAATACGTATGTATAATCGGAGTATTTAAGAAAGATAAAAGGGTCGTTAATAAGCTTTGACAATTCTATTACGAAGTCGATAGCAAAAATAAAGCCGTTAATAAAGCGTGTTAGCGCTGCTTAATAGTCAACTTAAGTAAAAGTAATCGTTTAACGCTTGAAAATTAAGCAATCGAGCTCGTAAAAAAACGTAAAAAACAGTTCTACGTCTTTTTATCGAGCAATTATATAAAAAGCGTATTTAAAGACGCCGTTGATTTTAAAGTTTCTATTGATTTTATGCTTAAATGTTTAACGAAAGCGTTTAACGAATAAAAAAAGTTCTACGAAAGCGATATCGGTTAACATAAGCTTACGGTTCATTTAAAACATTGATTTAGCGTAGTCTTTAGAAAAAGTAGTTTTCGTAAAACGAAAAAGTGACGGCTTTACGAAAAGGTAAATAAAAGAAAAAGGTTTAACAATCTTAAAAAAAAAAGCGGAAAGAAAACGATTCCGAAAAGAAGAAAAACGATTTTAAAAAGAAAGAAGTGATTCAGCGATTATTATTGCTGCTTGATCCGCTCGTGAACTATAATTTACGAATAAATTAGCGTTGTAAGCTTTTTAAAAGCGGTCTAAAGCTCGATCACGTTTGTTAGCGTCGTGCTAATGACGAGCGTTTACTTTACGCTAATTAAAGTATATAATCTTAATAAGTTTAGCGTAAATAGCGGTCGGAAGGTTAAAGCGAAGCTAATAAAGCTTGCAACGAGCGCAATTAAAGAGAATCTGATGCTTAGCTAACTATATTCGTCCGAAGATTACGTTATAATTTCTAAAGTTAGTGATAAGAAAAAGAGTAAAAGATTAAACGCGCTTATCGACCGTAAGGTTAAGAAGTATAAAATATAAGATAATAGCTTTACGAGCTCTATTATATAATTTAATAAAGAATAAAGCTAAGAAAAGTTGAATTAAAAGTTTAAAAAAGAAAGAAAGTGATTTGAATAGCGCTAAGTCAATCAGCGCGTACTTATTAGCTCTTAAGTCGAGCAAAGCAAATACTTTATACGAAAGGCTATTCTTAATAAGAATAACGGGTATAATCATAGCTTTACTATCAAGAAGCTTCGTAAGGTCG